GGGGGTCCGGTGGGTCTTCCCTGATGCTGTTATCATCGTCACACAGCCACTCCTCACAGCAGCGTCCCGGCGGCGTCTCCAGACGAGGGTTGGCACAGTGTCCGTGGGGCAGAGGGATGTTGTGTGGACACAGCGGCATACAGCCCACCACACCATCCATACAGCTGCACTGGTGCTGACAGCTGGGCTGGAAATCCTCTCCGTGCTGATACACACCACCAGCAAACTCACACGGACGTCCCTGAGCCTCAGCTGAGACATGCACACAATAAACGTCACGCATTTCAGCAGTCAAGAGCCTGGGATGTAACAACTCTGTGCTTAATATTTAACATGCTGGAATCCAGACATATAAAAATGATCTAACAAATATTCTAATCTTTTTTGGGTCACACTGGGTCGGATTAATATTAATTAAAACATTCATTTACTGTAGGATTAGTGTTTGGATTAGTGTTAGTTGCTTGTAATTACACATAATTATTGTGTTATTAATATAGTAAATGCTTGTAACTTGTAACAAGGACACATTAAAATAAATTGTTACCCATTGTTGGAGTAAAACTTGCAAAGGCTTTGGAATAACAAGAAGTTAGCAGGCAGACGATTAAGTTTGGGTTTATAAAAAAATAAATAAATAGCTTCTTATAAACAATTTGCTTAATTTGTAGTTTGCAACTATTGCTTTTGCATACACACACATTATATGTATGTATATATATATATATATATATATATAACAATCAAAAACAAAATGAAATGTTCTATTTTTAGGTTAAAATTGCAGTGAAAGTGAAAATTTCCTAATTTTATCATATATTGTAAATGTATTATAAATTTATAGCTTTTATATTATGATTTTAAATTTATATAATATAATATATACATGTTTTAAAATTATTTCTTATAAACTTATTATAGGGAAGGTGTCCTGCTTCTAATTATGCATCATTTACTTTTATTATTATGGTAAATAAATGTAACTTGTAACAAGGATACGTTACACATTTCTGGAGTAAAACTAGCAAAGTCCTTGGACTAACAGCAAGTCAGCTGATCGAATTAAGAAATAAATCGTTTCTTATTTAAAATTCTTTAAATAACTTTCAAATTATAACATTTGTAATTTTTCACTGCTGCGCTGGCAACTATATATACAGATTTTATATGTATATTTTAGAAAAGGTTTCTCTACAATGTTTCACATGACATCAGTATCGGGGACAGTGATTCTTTGCTATTTATTTATATATTTATTTATTACAAATTGTTCAAACAAATACCAAATGACTTTTTTTTTAATCTTCTCAGGTCAAATTACAGAGAAAGTGAAAATCCCCTGATTTTAATATAACTTATAGATTATATAATGATATAACATTCTTATATAATTTATTATATATTTATTATAGAGAAGGTACCCTATAGTTTACCTTTTAAACTTAAAATTTTTTAAAAGATGTAAATCAAAAGAAAAAAAATACACAATTAAAATCATTGAAGGGAACAGAAAAGTTCTCCTAACTGAATAGTCACCCACTAACACTCATTAATGTTATCTGTCTCAGCGATGTGTTTTTCTTACCTCTGCAGAGACCACGCCGAGGGTCCCCTCCGGCCCCTAGGTGGCAGCGCAGGCCCTTGATGTGGTCACAGGGTCGGTCAGGGCCACAGTCCTGGTTGAACTGTTGGGCGCACACCTTACAGCAGCCACACTCATCCAGCACCCAGCTCACTCCGAGCGGACAGGAGGGTGGAGACGGTGGGCAGGAGCAGGGACGGGAACAGCCTCTGGACACCTGCGGGAACAGCAGAGAGACGAGCACACAGCTTCAGCCCTTCACTTCATTACATAAGGCCAGCAGTCAGAAATGAAAGGCTTTCACAGAGATGACAGTGTAGGAGTTGTCAGGCCAATGTTTTTGTAAGTTTGTATGAGTGGGTTCGGCTGTGTTTATATAATACACTCACTTAGGTGTCTGTGTTTGAAATGTGACTGTAGAATCGAATCATAATATACACTGTAAGATAAACTGTGCCGTTGCTACCATTAGAAGCTATTTCTACCTGATGTGATCCCCATAAACAAATACTTTCTTGATGCAATCTATGCTCAAAAGTTCATGTTTATAAAATTAAAATATTAAAGTAAAATTTTAAAATTAAAAAAATAAAAACTGATTAAAAATAAATGTATTTCATACACATATTTTTTAAAATAATGATTTTGAATAAAAGTCTTATGCTCACTAAGGATTATGCTCACATTTGTTTGATCAAAAATACAGTAAGAAATGAAATATTATTGCAATTCAAAAGAACTATTTTCTAGTTGAATATATTTTAAAATGTAATTTATTCCTGTGATGCAAAGCTGAATTTTCAGCATCATTACTCCAGTCTTCATGATCCTTCTGAAATCATTCTAATAGGCTGCTCAAGAAACATTTATTATTATTATCAATGTTGAAAATAGTTGTGCTGCTTAATATTTTTGTGATACATTTTTTCAATATTCTCTTAAGAACAGAAACTTCAAAAGAACAGCATTTATTTGAAATAGATACATTTGTAACATTACTGTCTTTACTGTCACTTTCCATCAATTTAATACATCCTTGCTGATTAAAAGTATTCATTTCATGTCTTTTTGACACTAAACTTTTGAACAGAAGTGTATATTTTGACTTTCAACATTTTTTTTTAATATATTTGTATAAATTTAAAATAAATTCAATCATGTACAATTTAGCTTTTACCACATGAAACACGTTTTTAAAACGTTTTTATCTTCATATGTCAAGGAAACAACATATTTTTTGGGGGGGGTTTGCACACACTCAATCAGTTTTCAGAACGTCTGAAATAGAATAGATCAAATTACTTGAGCTGAAATCTAACAAATATCTGCTTCCATTATTTAAAAATGTTTTATCCTTAATAAATAGAAATGAATTCACATAAGGAAGTATCAGAGTACAACAACAATAGCCGGTTTGTAAGGAAGGAGGGGAAAAAAATTGTCCTACACAGCCTTCAACAGATTTCTTCTGCAATGTCTAAGTTACATGTGTGCAACATACTGGCTCCAATCTACTCACCTCTATTTCAGCTGGGCATACGACAAACATCAATACGGTGCAAATAACAGCCAGAGTCCTCTGATTCCTTCCAGAATACATTTCCAAGCTTTCCAAAAAATTAATACCAAAGTTAAAAAAAAAGTACAAATCCCCAGTGCAAAAGCAGGTTTATCCCCTTTTATTCTAAATGACTCCAAAGAACTGAGAGGGCAAATGTTCCAAAGCTAGTCCAGTTACAAAACGCATCAGTCAGACTAGTTACTAAGCTAAAGGTATAGCAAGACTCAAACACAGATGCCTTGTCAGTTTTACGGAGCATTTCCAAAGAGGCAGGTCACCTTATAGAGCCAGCGCGAGAGACTGACATCAGCATGGTCGGAGCAGTAGGAGTGTGTCTTCATAATGAGGGGATCCCTTATTATTTGTGTTGCTGGAGCTCTAGGGAGCAGGGTGTGAATGCAAAACTGCAAAATGAGACTGGCGATCTCAGTAGTGTGGATTACAAACGACAGTTAAATTAAACAAATCCACCGAGACACTTAAAGGGGTCATATGATGCGATTTCAAGTTTTCCTTTCTCTTTGGAGTGTTACAAGCTCTTGGTGCATAAAGAAGATCTGTAAAGTTGCAAAGACTAAAGTCTCAAATCCAAAGAGATATTCTTTATAAAAGTTAAGAGTCAACCACGCCCTCCTAAAACGGCTCGTTCTAACACGGCCCCACATATCTACATCACTATGTGGAAATATTAGCATAATGCCGCCCAAACGTGCACGCAAAGAAAGAAGGCGTGGTTTCAGGAACAGCAGCAGTGTTGATGCTGCCATGTCAGGGAGACGTTGTGATTCTGTTACACCAAATAATGATCTTTAAAATAGCATCATATGACCCCTTTAATACAGAGCTAACAAACGCGCTCAAGCAGGGTGTTCACCTGACCACACGGTTTAGTTTAATTGGCTGTTTGTTATGTGTTACGAAAGCCGCCCTGGAGAGCTTAAAAACATTGTCATAATAGTGGAACAATTGAGAAGGGAACTCCAGCCGTTTTCTCTTTGGATGGGAAGTCCTGATGAAGATGCAAAGGAAAATCCCCATAAACAATTCAGCTCTCACACACGCTTCCCACTCATACACGAAACACACTTCTACTTTCCTCGCACACCGAGCGCTTCCTGTTGCGCTTTCTCACTTCCTCTAACCGTTTCCTACCAGCGGCTACATTCAGGAAACTCCGGCCGTTCACACAGGTTCCCGTGTTTTTGTAGGAAAATCAAAACATTCTCATCATTGTCATCTTGTAGGGACATGAAAAGTGTTTTCTATTCAGTTGCAGTTAGAGCTCTCCGTTGGGCCTCAGGTTTGTGTTATGAAACCCTGGAAGAGAGTAAGATCTCCAGTGTCTGACCTCCAGAGACTGCTTTCATATAACTCATATAACAACTTTCAGGCAGTCACTTCAACACCATTTCTTCTGATTTTTATTGGAATGACACACCTGATTTAACACCAGATTCAAATTTTGATTCAAATATGAGTGATGTATATTTTTAAATAATAATATATGCTTTTATTTAATCAAAAGTGTTAGGAATAGCCTCCAAAGCAACAATGAGATTAAACAGAGAGCAAATGGAGACTTGCAGTAAATTTTGTGCTTTTCAGATTTTTCTCCCGAGAAATAAATCCTAGTAATCTCACGTCTCCCATAGAGTTTAAGACATCTCAACAATGTCTCAAACTGTGCTCAGATTTGTGAAGATATCAAAGTCTGCCTTTAAAAAAATCAAAGGTTTCAAAATGAACTCAAGTATTATTTTTTTTTTTCATATTCTTCCAAGAATATATTATCTGAGCAATCCTCAATTGTGCACTCTTAAAAATACAGGTTCTTTATTGGCATCTTTGCTTCCATAAAGAACGTTTAACACCCATGGATGCTTTCCATTGCACAAAAGGTGCTTTTGCAGAAAAAGTTTCTTTAGATTTTTAAGAGAACAATGGTTCGTTTAAGAACTGTTCACTGAAAGGTTCTTGGGAGAGCCGAAAATGGTTCTTCTATGGCATCACTGTGAAAACCCCCTTTTGGAACCTTTATATTTAAGTCTGTATATCTTTATAGGCTTTATTTTTCTCTAACCATATATAAACAGTTTTAACAGTTATGGCTGTTACCTATTAAATCAATTTCAAAATATAAAAGTAGCTGTAAATAGACACAATATATCATAATGCAATAAACACAAATGAATAGATTATACAGTTCTGTCCTTTCTACTGTCACAACAGTCTTTGATGTAATCACATTTTCATTTAGATGAATAGATGATTTATGCAATAAATCTGAGAGGCTGTGATATTTAATCAAGAGTAACAGCAAAATCCTGCTGAAAACAACACCTGAGATTATGGCCTTATATAGTTTTACACAGTGATATTGCTTTTGTGCAACAGTTAATATTAAAGGGGTCATATGATGCTGCTAAAAAGAACATTATTTTGTGTATTTGGTGTAATGAAATGTGTTTATGCGGTTTAAGGTTCAAAAAACACATTATTTTCCACATACTGTACATTATTGTTTCTCCTCTATGCCCCGCCTT